TGACACCGTGCACTGAAACAGCTGTCAGACTAGACTAGGTAGGGGGCAGCAGGGGGCCATCCCCTCCCTGCCCTGCCCTGCCCTGCCCAGGCCAGGCCAGGCTTAGGGGCTGGAGGACAGCTGCAGGGATCCAGCCCCCTCCCCCTTTGCAAATCCTAAGCAGCGGGCAGGGCTCTTAAATAGGATGGAGATGGGCACAACCTGGGCTGCAGCCCCTGCCCGGATCAGTTAAATGTTGGCTTTGGGGCAGGTGTAGGGATTTTGCTGAGCTCCTTTAACACCAGGTATCTAGGTTGCAGCCATAATGCTCTAAAGCAGTGTTTGTCAACCCATGGGTCATGAATGTAGGCTGTAAGAATGTATGAAAGGGTTGCAAGCAAGCTTTAAAAGTGGGTTCTCCTTTAAAAGAGAAAAACATGGGAAATGGTGGTTTTTCCCTTGCAAGCTGGTAGTGTTCCAGCTGCTTGGGACCCTCCCTGCCCCACATGCTGGGGGCAGCAGGTCTGGACTGGCCACTGATGTTTGGAAATAGGTCCTGGTACAAAAAAAGTTGAGAACCACTGGCCTAGAAGCAAAAAATCAGAACTCATGGCAGAGGTGATATCTTTTTATTAGACCACCTAGATACATGCAAAAGTGTTCTTCATTTGCAAGCTTTTGGGTACAGGCACCCTTCTTCAGGCACAGGAGAGAGCAAAGCTTGTAAAAGTTCTCCCAGGTAGAAACGAAAGTTCATATTTCACAGGAGGGCTGAGGGTGTGGTAACATCTCCTGTTTGGAAGAGCTCGTTTGGTGCAGATTAGGCACAGAAAAGTTGGAGCAGTTTTTTTACCTCTAAGTTGTCTGGTGGTAAGCAGCATGTAGAATCCTATTTGATCATGTTTCATATTTTACAGACAAGTGGAAAGATGGAAAGCTCTTCTGGGCAGGGATGTCTCTTGTGGTGAGGGGTTTTTGGTTGTAGTTGGGTATGTCCGAGTCTCCGTGCTCTGTGAAATCCAAATTCACTTGAAGAATGATAGGAGCCTGCAGCGTGGTGTCAGCTTTCAGGTGGTAAAATGTTTCCTTTTCGTAAAATTATGAGGTTTTCATTCCAAAAAGAGGCTAAAATGTGGTATTGTCCATGTGTCAGGGATCCAGGTTGTAGCCGTATTGGTCTAGAGGCAAAAAGAATCGGAACTTGTGGCAACGGTGATCTCTTATTAGACAAACTAGGTATTTGCAAAAACAAAAATCTGTACTTGCAATCTTTCAGGCACAAGCCCCCTTCTTCAGGCATATGAGAGCAAACTTAGAAATGATAATTCATGTGTCACAGGAGGTCTTACGGTGTGGTAAAATCTCCTCTTTGGAATAGTTTGTTTTGTGTGTTTTGTGCAAAAGTTTTTTTTGGCAAATCTAGTTGGTCTAATAAAAGATATAATCTCTGCCACAAATTCTGGTTCCCTTAGCAGCAGGATTTAAGTATGCTCTGTCCATGCAAAGTCCCCAGGGAACAGGTGGAAGCAGCAGGCTGCTTTGCAGGCCCCCTTCTTGGGTTGGAGCCCCCCCAGGGTCTCAGGGGATGCTGCCTTCCTGCTTCCCACCAGCCTGTGGCCCCTGCAGGGTGGCTTCAAAAGCACTCGGTGAGCTTGCTGGTGCTGACTGAGGGCTGAGCTCTGAGCAGGCCGCGAGTCCCAGGGCCTAGGCCAAGGGAATATAAGGATTGAGACGCTGTCCAAGGGAACCGTGTCAAGGGGGTGGCTGCAGCAACTGAAGGCCACACCTGGGTATGGTGCAGTGCTGGAGCTGGCTGGCTGGGCTTCTTTCTGCTTTTACGGCAGGTGCTGAGAGAGTAGGGAGGACTCCCAGCCCTGCCACAGACAGCCGGTGTGGCCCGGGGTGAGTTACGGGACCAGAGAAGCAGAGGGTCCACAGGGAGGCTGCTTGCGGTTCAACCAGAAATATTGTTTCTACCATTTCTCTCATGTGCAAAGTTTAATTAAAGCCAGTGCTGGACCCTGTGTCCCTGTATGATGTGTAGTCTCAAGCCCTTTCACAGCATGCTTATCAGATCTCTCGGTACTTTACAAGGTCTGTAGCATTGGCCCCATTTTACAGATGGGAAAACTGAGGCAGGTGACTAGTAGAGCTACGCACACAAGCCAGGCTTCTGAGTCCCAGCCCAGGGCTCTATCCACTAGACCTGCCTTCTTCCCAAGGGTCTATTTTAGAGGCTGTTTTGATGCATTTCCTGCTACATGTGCACCAGGTGCTTTGATAGACATGGGCAGTGCAGAGACCTGTTGGTGTTGGGCTTGACAGGCATGAGCTTTCCATTGCCCTGACATCTCTCTCGCCTAACTGGCACCTGTTTCTCCTTGCCATGCAGCCCCAAGATGGGATGGACCTGTACCTTTAAGAGCTCTCAAGCCCAGGGGCTGGGCTGGGCTCAGCAGGATGGTGATGATGATGATTGGATTCACCTGCTGCTGGTGAGGAACTGCAGCTGGGTGCTGGTGAACTGGAACCTGGCTCAGCTGGCCTCCTCCCTCTCGCAAAGGAGGTGGGGTTGAGGCCTCCAGCCCAGCCTAGCCCAGCCTCCTTCTGCAGCACCCTCAGCCTTCTGGAGAAGGGTAAGAGGTGGAATGGGCGCAGGGGGCACGCGGAGGGAAGTCTGTCCTTTGGCTTTGGTTGTGATAACCAGCTAGCTTCTGCTTGTCTGGGGCAGAGGGAGCCAGGGTGGGGTCTGGGAAGCAACTCCCACTGGACTGTAGGGCACACAGTATAACAGACTGGTGCGACAAGGATGGCACTGGGCAGGGATGGTGGCTGTGCTGTGTAGTCCCAGTGTCACTTTTCCCTGGCAATGCCTCAGCCTCCTCCTTCCTTACCCAGAGGAGGTACACGGGTGGAGGTGCACGAAGTACTGGGAGCGCCTGGCCAGGAAGGTGCTAACACCACACAAAGGATTTTGGGGCTCCGCAGCTTGGTGTAAGGGTGCTCAGTCCCCTCGGAGCCAGGGAGGAAAAGCATGTGAACTTTTAAGAAGTGGTGGAGGTCTGTGTCCAGGATGTAGGACAAGGCTGGTTTTGGGCTCCACTGCTGGGCGGAGGGTATCCTGGTGCTTGCTCTAGTGCATTGACCCACCAAGCTTTTTACTGAGCTTTCTTGTTGGTGCAGCTTCTCCACTGGTAGCAGTGGCAGGGGCCCTGGGCCGATGGCATTCAGCTGGCCTCAGTGACCTGAGGGCAGTGGAAATGTTGCTAGGAAAAAAACAATAGGCCCAGTGTGCCAGTTCTCCACAGTCCAGGGCATTTGCATGGGATGCAAAGCATGTTGCTACAGCAGCCCCAGAATGACTGACTTTGATAACCAAAGGGAGGGAAGGTGGTGGTCACCATCTGGGATGGTGCTAAGCAGCAGCTGAATGGAGCATTACAGCAGCTGGGGAAGGCATACAGTGCTGAGTCTCTGGGAATGCTTTGTGGTCAAGCACCTCCTTCCCCCGCAGCCCCAAATCCCTGGCACAACTCGGCTCAGTGGCTCCTAGGTTGTCCTAGGCCTGGCAAATGTTTCTATCCTGGTTAACTTTTCTCCACCCTGTGCCCGCCACCCTCTCCCCACAAAAATGTGTCTGCTTGCTGTATGGGCCTTTGCATGTCTCTCATGGGGTTGTAGTGTTATAGCTGTAGCTGTGCAAGAAGTGCAGAAGGGGTGCGGGTTCTTTAGGGAACTCCTGTACAGTGGGGGAAGAAGTGTGACAAACTTTCAGATGCAAAGCTTCCTTTTTCATCTAGTTGAATGTAACCTGTCCCTGTCTGAGGCAACAGCTGGGTGATCCTGACCTGCAGAATGCCTTGGCAAACGTTTGGTCCTGAATGCACTTTAATATGCAAATAGGAGCAAGCATTGTTGCATGTAGCTTTATATATAGGAAACGGCGCAAGGTAACCAGCTTGCAGGGCGTCTGTCAGCAGACCTCAGAACAATGGTACATGAGGTTTTGCATGCTGTGGCAAGACCTATGCAACCATGTCGGCTGCCAGGAACCAGGAGAGGTTGAATTGTGACCTAGTGAGAGTGGGGCAGTGTCAAGGTATTGGAGACAAGTGTGAGGAGCCCCATGTGTCGTGTTACAAAGGAGGCATCTTGCAGTCCTCTGAGCTAGTTGTATGTTCCTCCTGACTGTGAGTTTCCAGAACTGCAGTTGTGTGTGATGTGCGTGGAAAAAGGGTCAGGAGCTCTGTGTATAGCCCTAGTAATGCTGCTGTTACCCAATGCAGGACAGAGGGTTTTGGTAGCAGCTGCCTGTGTTCTGCTTGGGAACAAACAGAACAGACCGTATAAATGACAGACGCAAGTAGCTTTAGAACAAAGACTGGTGTATTTCTACTCAGCTTGTTGACACAGGATGAGGGTGGGATGGATGAACGGATATTCTGAGTGGCAAATAATACAAATATATCTTTATTCTGACAATTTTCTCACAAAGAATGAGACATGCAACTTTGTGATACCACTGAACAGAACCTAATGTTTAATGCACAAGCAGCCCCAACCCCGCCCCTCCCCCCCCCGTTCTTGTTGCATGTTTAGAAATAGGAAGACACCAGCCAGTTTAAAAAAATCAGACCTTGGGAGAGGCCCAGTGACAATCACATGTAAACACAGCAAAGGGAATCAACTAACCTTTCATTTAGCAGTGAGTCTACAATGTGAGAGAGTTTCCCCCCGAGGGAAGCTGCTCTGCAGTCTGTTACTCCGGGTTCTATAAAATCAGAATAATTTAGCAGGGGTTTTTAAAAAGCAGTTGAGCTGAATGCCAGCATTCCTTGTAGGTATAATAAAAACTGGCCACAATAGGAGATGAGGAGGGAGTGTGGGCTCTCTCTCACTTTGGTGCAGATCTTTTATTTGATACAGCCATTGTACATGCCAGCCATTCATATGCTTGGGGTACCTTCTAGGAACCCGCCACAAAGCATCAAAGCGCAACATACCTGGGATTCCCTACAGGAATATCAGTCTTGGTCCAGACTAAATGGATCAGCAGTGATCCAACTTGGACCTGGATGAAGCGTTGTGTAAAAATGCAGATGTCTGTTCACCATATGTCCAAGAAAAGAAAGAAGTGACAATGTGGCTCAAGTCTTTGGATAAAAAAACCAAACTCACTTTCTCAAGAAGATTTGGCCTCCTTGGGACTGCGGCGTGGGGGCTTGCAAATTCATTCCAAATACTACCCCCTAAACCTGGAGGCCTGCTGCTTTGCAGAGCTAGTGGCAGGATGTGTTGTGTCTTGTGGTTTGTTGCATCTCGCAGCATAGTGCCATGAGCTGTTGGCAGAGCGGACAAACTGACAAGAGCACCATGTAAGGGTGCAGAGAAAGTGCTCCCAATACCCTCTGCCTGCATTTTATAGAAGGGCTTTCAGGGCTAGGAAATTTTCCAACCAGAACAATTACAACGACTCCAGACCAGAGCTACATCACTGAACTATTAATGTGGCTTAATTCAAAAGACCTACCAGTAAATGCAGTCAGAGCAGGGAGTTTATATGGCAGGGAACATAAAAACACAAAGACAATGCTATTTGTTCAACAGTTCTCTGTGAGGCTAGAAAACCTGTTAACTTTGAAAGCCCTAGCAAGATGCTGCACTGGTTTAGAAACCGCCTACTTGGCATAAGACCACATTTGTTTTTTGCACGCTAACATTTCATACATCTCCTCCTTTTTGCCTTAAGCATTTTGCATTTCTTTGCCAATCTTGTAGCTAAGGATTTTGTTCCAGTCGATCTTGGTGCGAGTGACCGGGAGCTGCCGACGTAAGGCTTTGAATGTGGTGTCTGACATAGTCTGGTAGTTTTCACTGATCGCCGTCTGCAACAGCAAGTGGATGGAAGGTCAATGCCTAACTATAAATTCACCAGTGGTACGGTGCTTCAAAAAACCACTAGACTGCTATGCAGCTTTAGTGCTATCAGTCCCTTCTAAGGGGAGGCACACTACCATGGGCTAGGGAAGCAAAATGAGTATTGTGGATAGAAGAAAGGGTGTCTACTACCCTCTTCTCCTGTTCCTCAAGTGAACTTGGTGAACATGGCCTTTTGGAAGAGGCCTGAAGGAGAGGCAGAACAAATACAGCAGCAAAGACTGAAGCATGGGGTTCCTTCCAGTGTTTCATAGCGGGAGGTGGAGAGGGGCATTCAGTCCAGGACTCAAACACTTGCTGGCCTCAAGACTGAGGATGCCCATAGAAATGCCCTGTGTGACCTCATGCTGAACTGGAGTTGGTGTCCTTCCAGCCTCCTTGTTAACACCCTTCTACAATACGAAGGCATCCTGCTGCTGATTGCCATTGGAGGATTAAAGCTAGAAACAAGCATGAAGGCACAAAGGATAAGTGGGAGGTCAAGCTATTGAGTAAAGCTGTGTGTCTTGACCATTTGTAAATGGTGTATTTTAAAAAAAAAAAAAATACGGAGGGAATCTGCCAGGTATCTGCTAGAGTCTTACCTGGTACTCGTTTTCCGCATGTTCTATGACTTTAATAAATTCCTTGGCTGTTTGGACATCGTTCTGCAAAGTCAGAGGAGGAATTATTATTTTTAGATTCAAAGACTGAGTATTACAGTGACAAAATAGACTGTCTCCTAGAATTCTCTTCTGGAGATACCAGGAGCATAAGCAACTGGGAACAGACTCAGCTGATGTGCGTAGGAGTTTAAGCACATGGCTTAGAAGTGGAAGCAGACTAGTTAGGAGGCATGTTCCTCCCAAAAGGGAAGGGAGGACTGCCCTCTAGCGAGCAAAATCAGATGGTCTCTCCCCAACAGCTGATGGGGATGCTACTTCACTGGCTCCCACTTGTTTAATGTCCAAGCTAGTTATCTTCCCTTCAGTACATCTTTTAGGAGTCTACAGCCCCTGTAGCTACTATGATTGTCTGGCCTTGGTGCTGCAATGCTAGACCTTTCATCAATGTACCATTGTATTTTTAGTTCAAACTTTCTTTTACCCAGAAAGCAGCCAGCACACACCATTCTGCTCCCACGGGGGACAGCACAAGACAAATAGCCCAGTGTCTTTTCTAGTCTTTGTGATGTGCTTCTTGGCACAGTCCTTCTCCATAAGCAACAGCAAAGCTGGATATCCCATGTAATGCTGTGCATGCTGACAGGTCAGCCTGTAGTCTGATCACACAGTCCTTCTGTGTAAAGTAAGAGGCCCAAGAGTGGAGCCATGTCAGAGTACAGCTGTGCTTAATCAAACGAGACAAAAGGGTTGCCGGCAGGTTACCAGCTCTGCATGCTCACCGAAATCGGTACCGAGTCCTGGATGTCTTTATGACTAACCAGCTGCACGTTGCCATCTTCATAGTAGTGAACCTACACAAAGACAGAGATGTGGAGGGTATGACTAATAGTGTGATTTCCCCATCCAAAACCAGAGCTCTATTGTGTTATGCAAGGTACACACAGATCCAAAGAACAGAAGAAAAACTCAACTGTAATGCTGAGAGAGCTACCACAGTTTCATGTGGAGACTAACAAAGGCTGCCTTCCTTCTTAGCGGAGACCATGCGAATACAGGAAGTCCTTGGTAGAGCTGGAATGAGAGCAGGCAAGTCCTGTGTTCACAGGACTGCTTATGAGCCCTACCCCTTATTAGCCAGGGTCAGGAGTGAAACACAGCTTGATGTATCATCTGATGATACAGAACTGTGCCATCAGGCCAGACTGAGTGTTTAATTCTTAAAGGAGCCATTCTCAAGAGTATGCTTCTGACTATTAAACAATTCAGCTGTCTCTGCAGTTTTTGAATTTGAAAGTGCTGTATTTGCATACACCTAAGTTTTCATTTGGGAGTCAAATCCCTGGGAACATTTGAAGCAACTATGGATTTGGTGTGATTTACTGTTTGGCAATGCACTTACCTGAATCTTCAGCACTGCAGCAACCTGAGCTGTGGGTGGAGTGATGGTAAACTTCCATTCTGACCTCCAACGACCATTCCTGCAGAAAACCACATAGGGAAGCTGTTTATTTGTACTCGGCTTCATCCACAAATGGAAGAGCCAGATCAGGAATAGTTCTCCGTCTGCTGAGCTCCTAGTGCTTTGTGGCCTGCACTGAAATACCTTGCTGGGTATCTTGTGCCACTAAAGCAGTGTGGTTCAAGGATAGAAGCTTCGGCATGCAGAAATATGATGCATATACGCTCTGGGACCAGGAGAGCTACTGCCACCTGGTTCACAGCACTATTTAAATGAATGACTGAAAGCAACACAGGGGCCTTGTCCTGAGGCCTCCTATTCGGCCTGATGGGGAGGTAAGCAATTAGCAAGCTGAGGGCAGAACTGAGTCTGATTCCTAGTCTACTGCTTTGAAGCAAGCATGGAGACAAAGAGACTGGGTTCAAAGGGCTGGGAAAAGTGGGAGTACAAGAAGAAAACATCTTTTCAATGATCTTACCAAAAGTTTTTGGGCTGAAACTGGTGGCTTTCAATACAGGCAATAACTGTTTGCTGCCCATCTATAATTTTGCCATAAACCTGTATTCATAAAGAGAGTTTAAGTTAAGTGCTAGAATGCACAGGGCGAGAACTCTGTCTAACAGCTTTGAGCTTTTTTTCAGTAATGCTAGTAGAAATTCAGGATCCTACTACCCCACAAACCAGAGAGCATGTGCATATGCTTAGTTACCCCCTTTATATACACACACACACACGGTGCCTGCTTTTCCAGTCAACTTAGCCCTAGCAAGGGCTGCTGCGCACAGTAACTTTGGCTTACTGGGAAATGTCTTGCTGCTAGTTACATCCTGCCCAAATGCATGAACAGACTACCTGTACCCTTTTGGACAGACTACCTGTACCCTTTACTTCACAGCAAAGACCAGACACACAGGAAAACTAAAGAGCTGAAATATCACTGCTCTGTAGCACTGCATGGTGCTAACAGACACGGGGCAAAGAGTCATCAGTGAAAAAAGATGGATACTTAACAGTACAAAAGCCACTGGGGTAATGGTCTTTCACGTATGCCCTCAATGCGTTGTCACAGGCATCTCTCCAAGACTTTAAAGCTGTTTCTGTGTCCTCAGGCTGGGGATCACTAGCTTCCTTTCTTAGATGATCAAACTTAAAGGAAAGCTTGTTCCTTGGGTCTAAAAATCTACCGTTGCCCAGATCACCGTGTTCTGTAATCAAAACCTGAAAATAAAAAGAAAGCAAGGCACTTACTTACATCCTTACCCCTTTCACGTGGCTTTCAAATTTGCTGCATACAAAAAAGCACATAGCAAATGTGTTTTCTTACCTGGTCATCATACCCCTCTATCTTCACTGGAGTGAACTGATCCATGTTGTACTGCGCAAATGCACTGTTAACAACAGAAGGAGGATAAGCTTTAATAGTGATATTGCTAGTCATATTTTTTCTGACACTGTCAAGTATAAATCCCTTCTTCCTGACAGAGCCTGCTTTCTCACTCCCCATGAAAATATCAACCACAGATACTTTATACACATGCTCTAGGAAAGGCTTTCTGTGCTGCTTTTATGCCAGGCTGGCACCAAAAGAAGGCCCTCCACCTGCTTTCTAAGGTAACTGTAAAAGCCAAATTCTCATGCCAGGTTTAGTTAGTGAAGACTAGGGATGCAGGAAGTTTACTAGCAGAGCTACTGCCTGGAGAAAGATGAACAGGTCAAGGCAGTTCAGACAGGTAATAGCTGGAATTAACATGGCCAGTTGTGAGTGAAGCATGACATGATTTGACTTTAATGCTTCCAACAGACCTGTTTTAGAAAAACTTGCTGATGGATGCTTTGTGTAGTTCAAACACAAATCCTGTGGTCCTGCCACATGTACCACAAGGCTCCTTTTGAAGTTAATGAACAATCAAACAAGATACTTTGACAGCAATTAGTTGAGGATGGTCATTTACCAAACTTTGGCTAAGAGTCACCATAAGCTCCTCGAGTTAAAATTTTTCACAATTGGAACTAGATAGTGGCACCAGTTCTAGAATGGTTTACAAGCATTCATTATTTATCTGGCCTCTGAAAAGTTACATTCTGCAGATGCTGGATTTCCACATTTACTTAAGTTTTTCTCTGTGAAAGGTCATTCTGCCTAGGCCTTTTGAGAAGGAACCTCTAGATGCTGCATTTTTTTTGGAAAGGGGGAATTACAGTATGACACAGGCAGCTGTGATCACTTGTCCTGTTTCCTCATTAGACTCGGTGTACAGAAGGGTACACTTTGTTAGTGTTTAATTGTGAAGTGGCTGTCAAACCATACTTACTGTGCTGCCCCTTCCCTGAGAAGATTGTCATTGTTAAGCAGTAACCGCACATCTAGAGAGATGAAAGTGGATAGATTATCAAATATTTGAGGTCTCTGCTTCTATCTCACTTGTGTAATAGTGCAAAGGCAGAAACTTGGGTGTCAGAAGTATTCTGCTAGCACAGGATGTGGTTGCATAGTGGCATTAAACTCTTCTTGCTGTGTGGGTGGTGATTTATCATTAAACTTGCTTAACACTGTAACCATGCTATAGGGAGGGGATGGTTTTGGGGGTCACAAACAGCAATGACTACAATTACACTGGTTTTGCACTGTGTACTTCATCTTTGCATGTTCACAGCTTTCTGAAATATTCACTTCGGGGAAGTATAGCTTTCTTTGCTTGGCCTCTGACCAATGGGTATTTAAGATAAAAAATTATTCCTTCATTCACTTCTCAATAATGGGAGAGGAAAAGTCAAGTGACAAGTACTCCACCTCTACTAAAGTTCTTTGAATAGCACCGAAGCCAAAACTTGTTGGAATGGGGTCCAAAATGAATGGCTTAAACAGAAAGCCAGGTGTCATGCTTTTGTAATATAAACTCTAGAATATAATTAGGCTTTAGAGGCTTCTGGCAAAAGCTTAAAACATTTTAATATTTGCCACAATAGTTCCAAACAAGGTTGCAGCATAGAATTGCACCTGAACAGTACCCGGCCATAGGATTTTGCATTTATACTGCATGTAAGATTTTTACCTTAGTATTTTGATTAAGCTTGAAAATTGCTAACAAAATAAACTGTAATAAAGCCAATGAGGTGCATAAAACCCATCAAAGATCAAAAAAGAGTGAAACCCAGTATCTAAGAAATGATTTTTCTTGGTCAGGCTGAGAGGCTTGTAAAGGGGCTGATTTTCAGGAAGTGCAGTGTAGCAGAAAGCCCCCCTTTCCTCTTGCCTGCATTTGCTCTCCCCTCTTTGGATATGTTTCTTTTTCTACCTTTTCTTCCTTCCTCTCTCTTTCACTTTAAGATAAGGAATTGTGTTTTAAAATTTGTCTGCGCACATTTTGTATCTCCCCTTGTACTTTGGTATTTTTATCTATTTGTGTGCCATGGCATTTGTAGCTTATATTTTATACTCCTCACCTTTCAACTGAATGTGTTTAGTTTCATAAGTAAATTATACATTGTAACAATGTTAACAAGGGCAGGAATCAAAAACTCAATAGAACACAATGTAACAACCGGGAAATCTCTAAACTTCGCTGATCATGAGCTAGAAGCCCTGGCCTGAGTTAATCAACGCAGGGGACCAACTTTTGGGCTGAGTATCTCCAGATCAACCGCTCCCAGAGCCCTATTCTAAATTCATCAACGGACTCCCAAACCTGCACGTACATGCGGACGACCCCTGGGGCTGACAGATGCCATCCAGTAGCCACCGAGGGGTGGGGGAAGTCCCAGTAGGGTCAATGACCCCTGGATTGGGCAAACCTGAAAACTGGGGAGTCACCAAAGTCTGCCAGGGACAGATAAAAGGCAGTGAAAAGTGACCCTCAGTGGCGCCCTCTTGATCTCCAACTCGACCAGACCTGTCCAGCCAGAAGGACCAGCCGGCGACCCCCTTCTGGAAGATAACACCACGCTGAAAGAAGCCTCAACGACAGACTCCAGCGCTTGTAGGATAGGTATACCTGACTCTAGCCTGCTACTGTGTGTGTGCGTGTGTGTGTGTGTGGGGACCAGCCCCAAGGTTTATGATTACAGTGTTTCAATCCGCCTAATAAACCAGAATTTTAAGGATCCCGAGTTGGACATTTGTAGCCAACAGCAGAATACCCAGTCTCTGGAAACCGGCCTCTTCAAGGCGTTTCATGTCCATACCCCAAAACTGCAAATTTTGACAATGTTGGCTTTAAAAAGAATGCCGTCTTCTTGCAACTATGCTTTGTGAGGCACCTTCTATATCTTGGGGGGTTTTTTGGTAACAACTTAAACGTGGAAAACCCCTGAGTCATTGAGTTGTTCCTATTTACTCACCATTAAACACTTCATTAAATTCTCCTGGGGGTGCATGAGTGATAAATTTTGCTGCAATACGCACCTACAGTAAAACAGAATATAGTCATTAGTGGACAAAACTCAATAAACATCAGACTTTTGGGTTAATACAATCTGCAGTGTATACCATCATAATTCACCACAGTTTGCTAGCTGGACTGGGCCTCCTAGTTCTCAGCAATACTGTATTTACGGAGAAATTTAAATAGGTTTGCAAAGCATCCATTAGTTGTCAGGGCTTCAACTGCTGGACTGAAATTTGGGGCCTGATTTCTTAAAGCAGCTAAGAGCTATCAGCTCCCCCAGCTTAGGCTGGCAGAAACTGCCTTGCTAGGATCCTCTGAGCATGTATAAACTAAGTAAGAGCTTCTCTGTTGTTGCAGCGGCAGGGTATGGGCAGTGCCTGTATCATCCCTGCTTGTATCTGTACTGTGTGGTAGGTTGTCTCCGATCTGTACCTTAAAGCTTCGTGAGAGGTTCTGAAGTAGGCAATTCTTTACGGGTCTTTAGGTAAATGGCTGCATGTAAGCAAGTGGCTGGACTCCATGGCCCAAGAGGCCCATTCCAATCTTGTGTTCCAAAGAGTGTCCATGGGAGAAGCGGGTGCTCAGCACCCACGACTTCACTCTGGGCACCTGGTATCCGGGATAACTTCTGCAAACACAGCCCTCGATTTGGAAACAACTTTTCTGAATCACAAACTGCAGCTTGGCCACTGAACTACCCAACTTGGGCACCCACACACCCATTATTGGCTATCTTTTTGTGACCTAGCAGAACACAGACTGTGTCGTTGCTTTCAATACCTGGAGGCTGAAGTCGGCTCATGTAAAGATTAAGTAAGTTCCTGGTTTAAGGGGAGCTGTCGGTAGATGCAGGGTATTACAGCCCACTGAATAGCTGTAGCTAGGGAGTTTCTAGAGTATATTGTGAGATTCAGTGGTTGCTTATGATGCAACTCATTTGTTCCTGATGACTGGTTGGAGGAGGAGATGCTAGTGACCACCAGGAAAACAGCAACATGCCAAGGTTGTGAGGAGATCCCTTCTACAAGCCAGACAAATAACCTCTCCCTCTCCGATCCATTATTTTGAGTACCATGAAGCTAGAAATGAGCATAAAGAAATAACCCTGGATACTTTAAATTGAATTAGTTAAGTTTGATGGGCTTTAAAAGCGAAGTTGGGTGACCCGAGCTAATGGAAAGAGATGTCAAGATACACAGCGAAGAGACGGAGGCCAATGGAAACATACAAAATGAAACCAAGAAGTCAGCCAAAGGAGACTCTGCTTCCATAACCAACCTCCAGATTTCTGCTGGTGGTTGCCCCCGGTGTTGTGCAAGACAAGTCAATCCCACCAAGCTGAACTGCGGACACAGCATCAGCCGGCAATGCCTGGCTGCACTGTGGGTGAACTCCAATGCAAGCTGTTGTCCGCAATGCAGAAAGAAATGGGAAGAGCCTCCAGTGGCCAGCGTTCCACCCAAGCAAGTGACTGCAATGCTGTTTCCCAAGACTGTTGTAAAAAGAGGCTTGATTCAGCAAATCGGCGATACAGGCCATGGTCTCAAAGACTTTCACAAACGGGGAAAGGATCAGAGAGTCAGCTGGCAAAGAGGCTGGGCACTTCCCTTTGGGTTTTTGGCTTGTTTAGCTACTGTGACATTCACTTTGCATGTTTATCTCTGGATCAGCAATAAACAACCTGAACTGGATCCTCTTGCTCATCTGAAGGCTCCTTGCAGTCTAGGGAGCATGAACTACAGTCCAGAGAACAGTAGCCACAAAGAAACCTTTCTGTTACAGCTGGAGAATCTCAAATTACTGAAGCCAAAGCAAAAGCTGCCAAAAGACCTCTGGGAATTCAAAGCTGCAAAACCTAAGCCAATGCTATTTCTGCTGCATGCACTGAATGCCTCTCCAAGGCTGGGAATACTGTATATCTACTACTTTGATTACACAGAAAGCTTTCTGCCTTTCATTCACACCGTGTGCCCTGTACAACAGAGGCACAAAATGGGAACAGGCAAGAAACTTGCACACCTTAGACCTCCTACTTGGGGACAATGGAGAAAGCTTCTTTTCAAGCTCATACTAGCCTATCAATTAGTTGCTGAGTTTGCATGGAGTTGGCTAGGGATTCACTACTGGACATCATGGTTTATTATTATTAATGCCATGTTACTCTCCTGTTTGGAATTACTGTCAGTCTGGAGTCTCTGGTTAAGGAAAGAACTGAAGACTATTCCATGGAGAATGTGGCAGCATTTCTGGCATGTGTCCATACAGGGACTTGCTGGTGCCATTTTGTGGTACATTATTCCTCCATTTGTCTGGGACTGTGCATTTTACTGGAAGGTGTACTGTAGCCCCATCATGAACTTGCACAATGTAGTGAGAGAGTTAAGGCATTTGGAATCGCAAGTACTATAATAAAGATGAGAGAGAGCTCATTGTGGGGAAAACGGTATCCGAGCCTGCCTGAACTCCAAAGGTGGGAAGGCAGGCCCTTTTCCCTCTTAGGGGGTAATAAAAATGCCAGTGTGCGCTGTGGTGTACTAAACATCAGCATGATGCATTACAACCCATATGGCAGTGCCAGTAAGGCCTATGTGTCTTCCTTCTAAACAACAGGTTTGCTAATTCCTGACTTTTGAATACCTGGGAGAATATAATGTTCCTGGACAGGTCTCTGGAGGCACACAGTCAACCAACAGAAGAGTGCTGCCGAATTTAAAGATGATATCAAATGCATCGTGCCTTCCACAGTTTACAAGTTGTTTCCAACTTTATCACCAGTAGAAGTTAAGGCTTTCTTACCAGATAAAACTTTGTAGCTTGATTGGCCAAGACAATGAATACAATAAGTATTATTTTAAAATTTTGCCTTGTAAAGACTACCTTGAGCAGCAAAGGGAGTATAAATAATCATTAAATTAACTTAAGCTTCATGATTGGGGGTAGCAGCCAACTCTGTTCAGAAACCTTTTCCCAGTTTCTATTGGGATACTAACCAGTATTTCCCAGTCCGTGTATTAAGGTTTGAAGAGCAACTCAGGAGAGGGGAGATTAACAGCTGGATGCGCTGCTGTGCTTTCTTGCTGCTGCTTCCATTTTACCAACAATGCCTCTACCTTAGCTGGCCTGAGCCTCACCACAATACTAATCTCTCACAAATGGCAGGAAAACAGGTTATTTAAAAAAAAATGTTTTTAAAAATGTATATTTTTGTTTTGGTTAATGCTCAATATCATTTACACAAGTGAGCATGCAACTCCTGAAAGCAAAGCCAGAAAGAAATAACAGAGGCCCTTGCACAGGGCTAGAACGCTTGCCCATCTTCCCGACCTTCCTCTCCTTTTCCTTTGCAGTCACAGAAGGATAGACTTCTGGCATTACTAAAACATAGCCTTTTCCATTGTTTAATAAATTCCCCTACTTAAACTACTGATCCTACTTAGACAGTCTGATTTCATAAACTGTCTAAGAACGTGTGACAAGCGGTGCCATCTAGCAGCCTGCGACTCAGACTAGTGAAACAGTAAGAAAAGGCATGCTGCTGCTTCATGGTTGTGCCTTTAGACTTTACTGCATGTCCTACCCTAGATGGCTGAGGATCTCTTCCAAGCATGTGCTTTTCTTAGAAAGTGCAAGTGTAAGCACATGCAGAGGCATGTCTCTCTGGAAATGTTCAGGGCCCTACTGCAGATACTGTCCTCTGAGTACAGACAGCTTCACTTAAAAGATACTGAGATCCATTCTGATGGGGAGGATCCCAATAGGAGAGCTGCCATGACAATAACTAAGCCACATGCATATTTATATAGTGATGTGCAACAAGGAAAATTATATGGCCATTATGTGGATTGTGAAAGGTGCCTCGCTAAAGAAATACCATTATACTTTTAACTTTCTCTCTCCAACTTTCTTTTCTTTTTTAATATATCCAACCTTCTCTCAATCTGCTCTGTGTACAAAAGGTTACTTCCTAAAAGATCAAGGCTGAGACTCAGATGTTTCAGGGAATTATAAAAGGCCACTCCTACATACGCCCATCTGCCACCACCTTCTGCTACTTTAGCAAGACAGGTGAAATTAAATGTGTAAGGCAGGAAGTGCCATGTCCATATCTGAAAACCAGCAGCAATGAGCTAGGGAAACGGGCTATTTTTGTTAAGTATAATTTCCCTACCCTCTTGCTCCTTCCGGGGTATGAGACTTGGTTACCTTAAACCACTAAATACAGCTATCATCCAGCTCAATGTGAAGGAAGCCCCCCTCACACAACAAAGTAGCCCTGCATATCAAGCTGTCAGACTACTGTCATTCTAGAGTACCTTTGCCTTTGGATGCTGGCACCCTGGCAGCACGCATGTCTGCAGAACTAAGAAAACAGGACCTGACCTACTTCCTGCCTCATCGTTACCATTTCAAGTGCCTCTGCAGGGTTGTGGCAGAAATGCACTTCCTTTTTCTAAAATGGGGAAAGCATCTAGTAGGGAAGCTAACCACTTGCTAGTTTAAGCAGGCAAAATGGCAGCTGCAAACAGTGTTTGTGTAGAAATAGTTCACAACAGCCAGAGCAGTGCTTATTCAAGGTAAGAAACTAATTTAGCCTTTATCCCCTCCAATGTCAACCCGAGTTTGGAGGTGCAATAACCTAGGCTAGGTTGTTTTGCTGAGGCCATGTGTTAGAATCCAGGCCCCCCACTCTAACTCAGGCTGAAACCAAACCACAGCAGTGAGGAAACGGGCTACATCACTTGTGTTTTTTTTAATAATTCAAGTGTGTCCTCCCCCCACCACCACTGACTTGTAATGAAATCTAGGGTGTTTCAGCCCAAAGACCAGTTTCAATGATGGATCCTTTTGTGCATTCCAAGTCATTATTTTGAAGAGGATTTTGCTTCTGCTGTAAAATAACCCACTACTGGTATCTATTTTATGCCACAGCAACCAAATTCTGTCCTTTCTATTTCATTATCAGCATTTTATATTGTAGTCTTCATTAAAAAAGTAGGTAATCATGTTTCAAAACAATCTGGTTAAATCATACCACTATATCCCACTAGTGACTTCATTCTGCATTAATGAAGTGAACAGGTGCTGGACTAGAGTGTGCTGTCTGCCTACATTTCAGTGTCTGATTATCAGTGACTCAGAAACATCACTTGAAGCGATAGTTACGGACCTTCAGAGGTAAGCTTGCATGCAGCCAAATACAGAGTTGGGGCCTAGGCATGCTAGGCAAACCTACCGAATCAGCTGTTAAGCTAGGTTTAAAAAAAGAACAGCCCGATGAGGAAACAGAGTGAAAGCAGAAGACAGCGGCTGCTTCTTTCTGCTGGCTTGGCAAAATCAAATCCACGCAACACACAAGACCTGAAAGCATCTCTGACATTTACTTCTATTAGTTGCCGGTCTTCTCATCTGTAATATTGCCTGTACAGTAAAGCCGCTGAGGAACAGCAGAGCCAACAATCCTTTCCGTCTAGTGACACTAATGAGTTTAGAAAGAATCGTGACTTAAAAAGCCTCGTTTAAGACGCAACCCCCCTCCTCCAAAAGCTATTTTTATTTTACCAGTAGAAGTAATGCTTGATTATTTATTTAAAACAGAGATTTTTTTTCCCCCCCATCTATTTGCATGAGACAAACAACCCTCTAGGGCTACTGGAGTGTTGATGTTTCTCCTGTGCAACCAGCTTGTTCCTCCCCTTGAAACAAACGAAGGACTAAACAAACACATGCAACTCAGTGCCCTGGTAAGAGCCACAGGAAACAAACAACCAAATCATCGGAGAAGGTGAGGGCTGAAAGGGACCGCAAGGGACTCGACGCGGGACCATCGCGAGCGCCCTTGGGCCAGCTAAAGGGCTTTGAACTGGTTTGAAAAGGGGCTAGATTTCAACCCGTCTTTCGTTGTGGCAGCAAGCGGCGAAGCCTCGCACCCGACTGCGGAGCTGGGACGAGGCCAGATGCTGCATTTCACATCTGAAATGCAGGAGGGGCTCTCTGGCTTGCCAAGGGCTCGGCCGGGATATCCGGGCGAGCTGGAAGCGACGCCGAAACAGGCTAGAGGCCTCCCCTTGCACGGCTCGCTCGCCTTTCGTGTCAGTGGGACTGTGGCAGTGTGTGATCCATCCAGCCAGGGAGCCACGCACCATGCCCAGGTGCGGCTGGCGGGGTCTTTGCTCGGCTGGGGACATAGAAACGAGCTTGCAGGCCACGAAAAGCGCTCACCTCTTGCGCCGTGTTTGGGGGGACGTCCCCGGCACGAAGCCAGAGACCCTGTCCGCTGCACCTGGGCAGGGGCTGGTGTTTGTAGCGCGCTGCTTGCTGAAATGAAAGGCCAGTGGTGTTGACAGCGGGTCAAACCTAGTCTCGGGGCCGCTTCTAGCGCTGCCTGAGGCTGCTCGTGCTCCCGGCCGAGGCACTGAATTGATTCCTTCGTTGGTTTTATATCTATTTTTGGGGGAGCTGGTGCCACAGGAGCGGAGAGGGGCCCGGCTCCGCGACAAACCCCCGCCACTGGCGATGCGGGCGCAAGAGGAACACCCCCGAGACCGCCCTACCTTCTCCTCATCCGACACCCGATCCTCCAAGTCCGCCATCTTGACTCCACGGCCGCCGCCGCGCCAAGCACGCCGGGAACCGCAGCGTCGCCGGAACCAGAAACTTCCCCACCTTGGTGAAGCTGCCCCCGCCATCTTGGGAGTGGGCAGCTGTGTGGGGGAGTGGAATGTGAGGCGCCATCTTGGTGGAGGGCATTGCTGAGGAGCGAGGAAGCCGCCGCCGCCATTTTGGGAGTGGGCAGCTGTATGTGTGGGGGAAGTGGAATGTGAGGCGCCATCTTGGTGAAGGGCATTGCTGAGGTGCGAGGAAGCCGCCCCCGCCATCTTGGGGGTGGGCAGCTGAGGGGAGCTAAGTGTGCTTGTATGTCTCCGAAGTAGTAGCCCGTGTAAACGCGCTGCCCCCGCCCGCGTGCAACCAGACACAGCCTGGCTGCCCTATTGCCAGCCTCTCCCTTGGGAGAAGGACAAGGCGGCAGTTATTCCTTCACCAACCGTGCCATGAATGTAACGAGCAGCGAGGGCCGGACCTGCCAGGCAGGGCCCAGGGGCTCCTCTCAGGCTGGCCGGGCAAAGTGGCAGCCCCAGGCGCTGCTGTGACTGGGCTCCGCTCCCGACCCGGGCAGGGGGACGGCGGCAAACCTGTGGGGCCACGCGCCCCCCAAGCGGTGCAGCGCAGGCCCAGGCCCTGCCCAGGGTGGGTGCCGCCGGCCCAGCGCCGCTTGCTCGTGGCACTTGCCCACGCGCCACGTTGCCAAGACCACTGCGAGCGCTGAGGACAGGCCGAGGGGAATGGGCGTGTTCAGACTGCAGAAGGGAAGACTGAGGGGATTGGATAGCAGGAGGATGGAGCTGCACTGGTCTCAGTGGGGACGCACGACCCGACAAGGAGCAACAGGCTCACGTTGCAGCAAGGGAGGTTGAGGTCAGCTATTAGGGAAAACTCCCTCACTCCGAGGTGGTGAAGCACGGGACAGGCCCCCCAGAGCGGCGGTGAGTCTCCATCCCTGGAGGGGTTTACCACCCGGGTAGACGCAGCTTTGTGCGGGACGACGTAGCTGGGGCCGGCCCTGCCTGGAGCAGGGGTGGGACTGGATGCGACTCCCAAGGAGAAGGATCCAACCCTCATTTTTGTGTGATGATGTGACTGCTCTCCATGGCGCAGATGGCAGCACAAGGGGCGACGGGGGAAGCTGAGCTTAGACATAAGGAACCGCGTCCTCAGCAGGAGGGTTGTAAAGGTCCCCAGGCAGGGGGGAAATCTCCACCCTTGGAGGTGTTTAAAGCAGGGGTGGACGCGGCTTTGTCTGGGGCGACGTAGCTGGGGCCAGTCCTGCTTGGAGCAGGGGTGTCACTCCCCAGGGGAAGGATGCAGCCCTCCGCGGTGCAGCACAGGGGCAATGGGCTCCAGCTGCAGCAGGGGAAGCTGAGCTTGGAGATGAGGAACCAGTTTCTCAGCGGGAGGGTAGTCAAGCCCCCAGAGAGGGGGTGACTCCCCGTCCCTGGAGGTGTTTAGACGGGGTGGGGACAGCTTGCTCTGGGATGAAGTAGCTGGGGCGGGTCCTGCTGGGAGCAGGGGGCTGCAGGCTCCCAAGGAGCAGGGTGCTGTGCGCGCGAGCAGCACCGGGCTGCAGAGCGCTGCTGCCCGGGGGCTCAGGAGGAGCCGGGGGCACAGCAGGGGGT